GGGGAGGGGCTTCTGCGGCGGGGCAGGAGCAGGAGCACCGCGGGCTGCCGGAGCCTGGGCCATCCTCTGCCCCGGAGCCAGCGCCCGGAGTGCTTCAGCTACCGCCACGGGGCCTTCCCTCCCGCACCCCCTTGGTAAAGGCGTTCGGCGTCAGGAATGGCCACTTTTAGTTAAAGCAAAGTGTAGCCTTAAATCTGAATGCTCCTCTGACAGCTTTTTGGCAGAACTGAGGACATGTTCCTTCTGGATGCTGTATTGTGGGGCGAAGTAAGGGGCCCCCATTTACAGCCCTGATAAAAAAGAATTAAGATGAAAATCCATATTATGGATTATTTTCTTCAGTTCTGCTAGCTAAGCCGTAGGCAAATTTGTGTTCTGCTTCCCATGGGGGTAAAAAAAAAGGGGGGGGGGGAAATCACCTTGGATTCCTGTGGAATTGATGGAAATGTAGTACTTTATAGTATGTTTTATAAGTTATGCAGCTTGGCCCTTTTTCAAGTTCTTTTTTTCAACTTCATATTTTTTGAGACTTATTTTGAGTCTTAATTTTTTGAGGGGGCCTTTTGCCTGGCTTGCAAGGCAAAATAGAAGGATATTTGAAAATTCAAAAAAAAAGCTTTTTTTTTTGTAAAAGTAGTTTAAAGAAAAGATTATTCATGTTAAATCTCTCCAGTGGAGGATTTACCCCATCCTTTTGTTTGTCTATTTGTTTGTTTGTTTTTGTTTGTTTGAGGTTTTTTTTTTTGAAAATGAAGTGGAATTACACAGTCATTGATATTTTTCCAGTTGAAGAAATATAAACGAATAAAGCAAAACGTCAGTGGATATAATTACTGTATCCTGGAGTTTAGGGTGCTCTTTTTTTTTAAAATTGAACTTTTCTTTCTTGTTCATTGCTTCTAGTGATAGAACTAAAAAGAAGGCAAGATGGGAAACCCAGAAAACATTGGAGATGCATATGTTGCTGTGATTCGTCCAAAAAATACTGCTAGTCTGAATTCTCGGGAATATCGAGCTAAATCCTATGAGGTAAAACATTTTTCTCTATTAAAAATTTTAAAATAATATCTATGATGTTAAAAATAATATATATAGTAATACTGCAGAAAAGCAGATATTGCAGTATGATAGTTGAAACAATGTATGTGCATCATATATATATACTTCCTATGCATTGCCCCGTTGTTACAGTACTGGAAAACTTCACAGTTTTATAAATCTTTGTTGTTGTTGTTGTTCTTTGCACTCCTGTTAGATAGAGAACTATCTATGTTAGTAGGAAACCAGAGACTTACTCATTCTTAAGAAACATACTAAAGCCCAGGCTTCAGAAGTATTCATATGACCAGCTACCATTAATTTCAGTAAGAATTTCTTGTTGGTTGGTTATTTAGGCTCTAGACTTTCTTAGTAAGATCATAAGACATCTTAAATAGAGAAGGGACTGAATATGGTTGTGAAATGAAAAATATCAAACACCAGGAAGTGTTCAAGCAAATACCAGGGCCTCAGGATACTTAGCTATTTTGTTATGCTACATGAACTTGAAGGAATTATTTTTTTAATTATATTCCTTAGTTCTCTAAAGTCCACAAGCTTAAACACTTCAGTATATAAGGAACATGCAACACTTTCTTTTATTTTTTTTTAATGTGACTCTGTACGTGCTTCATGGACATATCTTGCGAGTCAGACCTTTCCAGGGCCTTTTGCCCTGTGTGGGGGGGTCAGTACAAGGATGCAGCCTTGCATTTTTCAGTGGTACAATAAAAAACAACAACAAAAAGTGTTCTGTATTTGTTTCAGTTGTGCTTAAACACTGCTTTGCTTGCTTTATTGTTCGAAAGATATTGTTGCTCGAAGTTCCCATTGAAGGCCAAAAGAAAAAAAGAAAGAAGGTTTTGTTGGAAACTAAACTGCAGGGAGGCACTGAGATAGCCCAGAGCATCTTGGATTATGTTTTAGAAGCCACCAAACCAATTTCACCAGCCAATCAGGGTATCAAAGGTAAAAAATTTAATCCAACCTATTGCTGATATTGCTATAAGATATTTTAAAACTGAAATGGGCATAGAGAAGTTGTTTAAAAGCAAAGTATTCAGTTTTTTTTAAAAAAAAGTATTTAGCAAAGTGTTTAGTTTTGGGGATCTAATCAAAAAGGCCTAAAACAATCATATAGCTAATACCTTTGATCTACCTTTGTTTCTCTTTAACTTCAACTCTGTAAAATGTTTACTAAAAGATTTTTACTAAGTTAAACTTCAGTGGTCTGTATTACTTTGTCACGTCATACTGAGATTTGTAACTAAACTTTCAATAAATCAGAAGAAAGTGGCTTTTTTAACCTGAATTTCAGCCAAACCCTGACTAGTCCATAGATTATTTCTGACTGCATTGCTTACTAGACAGTATCTACACTACTCTTGGCCTAACTGTACCAGGTATAGGTGTAATTTGATGTGTACATGCTCTTGGTGTTATTGTGACATAGGTGATCTTGCAAACAGCCTCACGCTGGTGCTGATGAAATTGTTTTAGCCTGTTCATTTCACTTCCAGCTTGGTATAACCTAGACTGATTAAAGCACTAAAGATAAAATTTTGCAGGTGGGGATAACTGGTGCTGGATGGACTTACCAAAGCTAATTGAGTAGGAAATGTGAAATAACATAATAGCATTAATACATGTTAGGTACTGCATAACAGAAATAAAAACAGTCTCGCTCATTGAGTATGAGAGTTTCAAATCGACTCATGGCTATGCACAGTTCAGTGTGGTCTATGCTAAAAAAAGATGCAGTTGACATCAGAAAAGCAAGCAGAATGCTAAATTTTGTAAATGTGGAAGGGAGGATATCATGGAATGCATGATCATATACCTCCGTTTGAATAAAGAACTTGCCCTACCATGGAATATAACATGTACTTGTGACCTACCAGTTCAGAAAGAATCTTGCTTAAACACAGGTGGTTTTGGAGAGGAATCATTTGTAATGACAAATAATAAAGGCCATAGAAAAGTACTACGAAGAAAGGTATGCAGTCTTGTTATTTTTCAGGTTAATGAGTGCATATATGTTTATATTCTGTCATAAGTCACTGTCATTTAGATTTTTTAGCTTGCTTAGATTTATGGTAATCACGGTTTGTTTCCTAGAAATCTGGAGGGATAATCCTGCTAATTTTTAAGTTGTCCAAGATTTATTCATTTATTTTTTGCTTTTTAATATTGTCCTAGGAAAGCGAGTAGTGTTGATGAAGAAGTTCCCTCTTGATGGAGAGAAGGCAGGCCAGGAGGCATCTCTCTACATTGTTCCAACTGTTGTCAAAGGTAACACCAAACATCGTTTTTGAAAGAGTATGGGCTTTAGCAGAAGTTCAGTCAATAATTTCTTGTGAATTTTCATGAATATGTGATATGGCTTTTTCTGTATCTAAGCATTTAAAAGTTAGATTTTGGTGGAAATCCTTCTCTCACAACCTTAAAACCTCTAAAAAGTTATTTAAATTATGGAAAAACTTATCCGATGTATTGCATTTGTTTCTATAGCTATGGCACACTTTTGGTTTAAGCCTCATTTGTTCATTTGATGATTATATTCCAAAATGTTTGCATTATTTTGAAAAAAAATACTAAATGCCAATGTAAATAAGGCATCCAATCAATTCAGTTCTGCGTTGTTTATGCAGAGAAGAATGCTTTGTTAGGCCAATGAATGTTTTTGTGTACAGAAGGGTGAATAAGGTCTTTAAAAGGCAAAATAACTTGCTTGTCAGTAGAGTATTACAAAAATTTTGAAACAAATGTCTGTACTTTTGGGGAAATTCTTCATTTGTTCTTTGGGATAAGGCTTAAGGATAGAAACTGTCAAATAAACAAACATGATTGGAGGATTGGAGTTACCAACAACAGTAAATTCCCAAAAAAAAAAAAAAAGGCTTGCTTTGTTTTGTTTTTCACCAGTCTACATTTATAATTATTTTTCATATAAATCTGATCACACTTGTAGAATAATAACTGAACACTTTAGGCTTTGTAAAGGTACTCTGTTGAGTTATAGTGAGTTTTTTACGTAAGGACTTTAGGTAATTTGGAAAAAAAAATCTTCTGTAGCGTTAAAAAAAAAACCAACCTCATTTAGCTGGGAATGTGTAACTTAGAAGATCCAGATGGGAAAGTAAGCTTCTTTCTGTTGGTGTGTCTTCAGAGTCTCTTTCCTTTTCAGATAATACAAAATACACGTACAGCCCTGGATGCCCCGTGTTCTACTGCTTACAAGACATCATGAGGGTCTGCAGTGAGTCCAGCACCCATTTTGCTACGCTTACTGCAAGGATGCTAATTGCCTTGGATAAGTAAGAACAGCCATTTGTAAAAATACCCATGTTAAAATAGAAGATAAACAAGGACATATGTTGATGTAGCAAGTAGTTTTACAGCAGCCTTCTGATTAAGAAGGCAATCATAGTAAAGTGCTATTATTGCCTTCTTTGCAGGAGTAAGGCTGTTGAACTGTGCTTTAGCAGCCCTCCATCTCCAGGAACAGGGAAGTTCTGTATTTATGTGCATCTTATTCTGCCACACAGTACTGAAGTTAGGCAGAACTTTTTTCACTATTTCAAATTTGAAACGACCTACTTTTTTTTTCTTTATCTTTCCATTGTAAATTGCTAAGTGTATATATATATATATATATATATATATATATTTGTATTCTGAAGTACATGTTGATGAGAAGCTATTTACAGAAACCTAAATATAGACAAAGCTTTAGGCCCTTGGTTAACATGCATCCTGTTCAATGTAATTGCTAAATTTATTCTGCTGTTAAATAAAAGCATAGTTACCCAAAAATAAACATGAATATTCTTCCTTGAGTCCTGTTTTATATGTGGCAGGAGAAGAACACAGCAAGTAGACAGTGATGATGATTTCTACCTCCAGCTTGCCTGTGATTGCCTACCTGATTTGGCATCTGTGAAACTATCAAACGGCCTCCCTTTTTCTCTTTCCTCACTTCTCCCTAAGTAACAAAACAGATGAGTTGAAGGATTTAAGTCTGCACTGCTGTATCCTCCTTTAAGTTTCTAAGTTTGCATGTTGAGAGTAGTACTACCATAAACTGAAAAAGAATGTGTTAATGTAATTTGTTGGTGTGTTTTGGCATTAACTCATGTGGCTATTACCTCAATGTATTATTTCCTTTTCTTTGAGAATTTGCATCTGCAGGAAATGTATCTGAGTAGATGATATATACATAAATAGTATAAAATGCCATTTGCATAACTGTGTTGTGTTTGCAAAGTTTCATGTTTGGGAATTAATTTAGTGCTCTAACAACAGCTGCACACATGATAATTAAAACTTAAGAATTTTTTAGATGAGTTCATAGCCCAGTAATTTTGCAGACATAAGGCCATATTTTTTTGTCATACATACAACCCTTAATCAAATGAAATAGTGGGCAGACATGACAAAAATAGTCCTTTTTTGCTTGATAATGAATTACTTGTCCATTCTCTTCTGCAGGTGGTTGGATGAACGCCATACCCAGTCTCACTCCATCCCAGCTTTATTCAGACCATCTCCTCTTGAGAGAATTAAAACAAATGTAATAAACCCTGCCTATGCTATAGAACCTGGTCAGACAGAGAGCTCATTACACATGGGTTATACTGCCCTAGAAATAAAGAGTAAAATGTTGGCATTGGAGAAGGCAGATGTGTGTATCTACAATCCTTTGTTTGGCTCTGACCTTCAGTATACTAACAGGGTAAGTACTATATTTTCTTTTAATATTTGTGAAACTTGCATATATTTTTACTTTACATTTCATTCCTGTATTTGATGTGAGTGTGCTTTATGTTTAATATAATCGGGTGTATTTATTGTGTACTTTTTGCCAAATTAGATTTTCAAATTCACACATTTGAGCACCAGTTACTTCAGCTGTAGAAAGCTATGCTCATAACTTTGGTTCCAAGAGAATACATGGCTTTGATGGGGGATTGTTTAGTCAAGTGTCATTAAGATTTTTCTTTTCAGTTTTAAACTGTGTCTCTGCAGGTTGACAAAGTGGTAATAAATCCCTACTTTGGCCTTGGAGCCCCGGACTATTCAAAAATTCAGATTCCCAAAAGAGAAAAGTGGCAACGTAGCATGAGCAGTGTCACCGAGGACAAGTACTGTGTTACATTTCTTTCTCATTAATAAATTATTTGGCAAATTAGAGTAATACTTGGTGGACTTGGTCAGAATGAGATTCCTATTACTTCGGTACTTTGGTACTGAGGTACAAGATTTAAATTACAAAGTAAAATCAAGGAAGCATTTCTTGGCATAAGGAAGAGCTATGCCTTCTTGCAACTGAAATACAAGTTGTATGAATATTGATGCATCTTAATGGCTTGAGCTTCATCTTTATTCTTTATATAGCTCTATGGTTAGTCTTGTGTCATTTAAAAAAAATCTTATTGAAATATTTCTGAACTGTGTTTTCCTCCTGTTTCCTGTTTTCAATCACAGGGAGCACCAGTGGGTAGATGATTTCCCCCTTCATCGCAGTGCTTGTGAAGGTGATTCTGATTTACTGAGCCAGCTTCTGGATAAAAAGTTTTCTGTTAACCAGTTGGATAGTGACCATTGGGCGCCCATTCATTATGCGTGCTGGTGAGCCACCTGAGTCTATTTTTGCTAAATGCCTTCTGCTATCATGAGTTTTTAGCACTAAGAATCTATGTAAGTTATCATACAGACTCGGAAATGAGAGACTGAGAAACTATAGACTTTTACAGCGTTACTGTAATATATGTTAGTGTTAACTGTTCAGAGATGCATTGCTTCGCGTTTTGAGATCATTTTAGGTCGCTGAGATCTACCTGAATGGTTTCTGAGGAAACCAAATATGGTGACCTGATTATTAAATACTTACCTCCTGCCTCTTCTCTGTCCTCTGGAGCATCTATTTTGGAACTCCTGGGTATAGACTAGGGTGGTAACTCTTGCTTGGTTGTTGGTTAAAGTTTATGAGCAGCCTGATGACAACATGGCAATAGCTGAGCTCCATTGAGCAAGTGTTTGTGATAGTCATATTTTGAGCAGGAAGACTGACTGTTTGACCTCCAGAGATTTCTTTTCACCTAACATTTATGATTCTGTAATTCTGTGAATGCTTCAGAGTATTACTCATCTATTGTAAAAATATTTTTGTTTTGTCTTTAAGCAAGGCAGTCGTTTATTTGTAATAATAGCTGATTACATGAAGAACCTGAAAATCAAATATGATTATAAAAGGATGAAACTTGTTTTGTGTGCATGTTTCAGAAAGTGCATAAAAGGCATACACAAGATTTAAGTCATATATGTTTTTTTGGATGGTGACAAATGTTATCTTAATCCAGATGTAAATGCAGAAAAAAGAATCAACTACTGAAACATAAGATACAATCCAATTACAGTAATATATGTTTTCATTTTTGGGAATATCTTTGAGAGTATCTGAAAAACGGTTTATTTTACGTTTGCTATCTGTTCTGCATTTCATCTATGTGCAGGTATGGAAAAGTTGAAGCCACTCGAATGCTGCTGGAGAAAGGAAAGTGCAATCCCAACCTTCTGAACGGGCAGCTGAGCTCTCCCCTTCATTTTGCTGCTGGAGGCGGCCATGCCGAAATAGTGCAAATTCTACTGAATCACCCAGAAATCGACAGAGTGAGTTCAGTTTGTATCAGTGCATAAAAGTTTTAGCAAGAGATGCTGGTTGGTGCAGGGAAAATGCTGTGTCCACAGATCACAATGCAAAAACATGGTGATCCTGTTGCCAAAACCTGTTTAAATGCTTTTCAGTAACTTTCAGTATTTTTTTCCCATTGCATTATCAATTAAATCATTGAACCCTAAAATTAATGATTTTTAATTATCTCAAAAAAGTTAGCATTTACTTATCTCCAGTGAAAACAATGTATTATTGGTGTTTCTGTTTGTTTCTAGCACATTACTGATCAACAAGGAAGATCTCCACTGAATGTCTGTGAAGAAAACAAACAAAATGAATGGGAAGAAACTGCAAAACTGCTGAAGGAAGCCATGAATAAACCTGTATGGTTTTATTTTCTAAGTAGTTTAAAGTTTATATTATAACTTACACACAAACACTGAGAGAAAGTTAGGCCCATTTATAGTTGTTATCAGAAATATGCAGTTATGCATGCTTATTTTTTTCAGTATTTTATATGTAATGTCACTTATTCAGTATTGACAAAGCTAACATTTTTCTCTCTTTAAATGTTTCTATTGATGTAAGGCTTCAAACATGATGTTTTCATTTATCTGTGGGAGCATCACATCAGCTGCTGATTTTATCTGCTACTCCTCATTCAGCCATTAGGTTTCTTTATGTCTTACCATCTTATGTGTGACATATGAGTGTTGAGCTGACTAAATGTAGGCTTCTACAAAATTAGACTTTTATCAGTTAGTCAGCCTAAGGCTTCCTTTGCAGTCAGTGGAGATTTAGCAGGCTAGTAAACAAATTTTATGATGCCATCATACTTTCATCCTGAAGTATATTTAAGATAGATGAATAAAAAAGCACTTGTTCCTTTTCTTTGAATTCGGATGGAACTTCTAACTCCGTAGTTAGATGACAGTAATTCATCTAGCAATTATTTTTAAGGTGTTTTAAAGAATCTTCAAGTTATTCTATATGAATGAATCTTCCAAAATAAAGGGGGAGTTGACCACCCTTACACTTGTTCTTGTGATACAGTTGATCAAATGGCAATTGTCTAATTACTCTGAAAGACTAACGCATGCCTCTTAAGTAGATTTCCCAGAACAGAAAGTGATATTATGTTGTAATCTGTTGCTGTTGATTTAATACAGTAAAATTAAAAGTTTAATGAAAGAAACTATTGCAACGGGAATTACAGTGATTGCTGCAGTTAAATTGACTAATTTTAACCTCATTTTCACTTGGTTATTTTCCAAGGCATTCATCTTCTTTTTTTTTTGCAGAAGTTTCTATTATTGATCTCTTGGGTTTTAAGAACTAACCAGACTTGAGGAGGAGAAATAAGTTTTTTTGCAACTTGTTGTTTAAGCAATAATTCTTTGAAAGTTATTCTTTGATAATTATTCTTTAAGCAAAAATTCTTTGAAATAATTTTGAAGGGGAAAATAATTTATGATTAGTAGTTTTATAGAAGTGCTAAAAGTTCTTAGTGAGATTGTATTCCTGTATTGGGATCGAATTACTGATTGGTTGATAGAAATGTTAGATTAAGAAATAATCTAATATTAGATTATTAGATTTAAGGATAGGAACATTAGATTTAAAGATAGACTAAATGAAGGGAATAACACCATATCCTGCCAGGAATGGTGAGAAGGAGGTTTCAGGATATGCAGAGCCCAAATTCCTCAGAACTTTTAGATAGCTGCTTGCTTTGAGTTCAACAGAAGGGAAGCCCTAAAATATCATTAGGATTTTTCTTTGTTTGTATGTTAGGAAGTACAGTATAAGAACTTGCATAGGACATGAAACAAGCCATTTGGATAAACAGTAAATTTGCAGGAGTTGTGCAGTGTTTTTTTTCTCAACAGTGTGGTGGTTGCTGAATTACAATGAAATTGCTTGCCTCTTCATAAGCACTAATGGAAAGATAAGATTTTAAGAAGTGGCTTATTTAATATTTTTTATGCAGTATGAAAAGGCACGAATCTATCGTATGGATGGGTCATACCGCTCTGTTGAGTTGAAACATGGAAACAATACAACTGTACAGCAGATAATGGAGGGGATGCGTTTGTCTCAAGAAACTCAGCAGTACTTTACCATCTGGATCTGTTCTGAGAACCTCAGTAAGTAACAAGGAAGACTCTTACACCCAGTCTTCCAGTTTTCCACTTTTTTTTTTTTCCTTTTGGCAGAGGGAGGGGAAGGGGGAATTATATTGTCAGAAAGAAGGGAAACTGAAGGGCTAGTTTTCTAGCCGTTCTGTATTGCCCGCTCTGTATCAGTTTTCAGAAGCCATCTTTTAGGATTCTCTACTCCTGAAATCTGCAGAGCTCCTGCAGTTTTGTGTTTGAAAGTAACCAGAAGACAGTGTATAGAAGAACATGGAGAGGCAGCTGAAGTTTAGTTGGAGTTCTTGAATTCTTAGCATTTTTAGCAACAATCAAGTCATATTGAAGTCTATATTTGGATGTAGTAGGATGTGGGATTTGAGTAGTTTTGAGTAATCCTTTCCAAAATATCAACTTGTGGTTAAAGTGTGTAATTGTTCGTACTTGTTTTGGGGAAATAGTATTACTCAAACAGTGTGCAGAGTAAACTTGAGAGAGCTTACCACTGGAATTAGAGCTCATTTTTATGATTTCATACTTGTAAGTGGCTGTTTTTTTTTTTTTTAAATCATCTTAGTAATGTTTTAGCCAGTTTGTCGTCTGCACATCAGTAAAACATCCAGGAGCCATAGGCTTTAGTTCTTCTTTTTTCAGCAGAACTAAATTATATTCTTCTCAAAGAGAAGAGTTAACTAATGTCTAGACTGATAATATGTTTTGTACCTGCCAGAGTCTCTCTCATCTCTGTTTATTTAATTTCCTGTGCCTTTTACATGAGGACTGAGACCCAAATTTCTCTTCCCCTTGCTCAAGCCATTCGATCCCGCAGCCCACGGCTCTTAGACAGAGAGGGGTGAGAAGGAGGCGAATGGGCACTACCCCACAATCCACAGTCACAGTTCAACTGGAATTCTTGGAGCGATTGCCTCCAAGATTTAGAACAAGGTGCAGTTAGGTGAGGGAATTTTGCACTTAGACCACAGTATGAGGGACATCAATATAGTTAGATTTGGGTTGTAAAGGTAAACAGCTTTAGTTACAGTATGTTGCATATATTTCATGATTATATGTATAATGCAGATTACAGTAACCATAGTTACTAAGATTTGCCATAAGCTGCTAAGACACTTTGTCATGGAGAGTGCAAATTGATTGCATGGTTCTACCAGCCAGTTGCTCCCAACTGAGTCTGCAATTTTGGTGGACTTCTTTTCCACCTGCTGCATCCGCCTGGGTTGCGAGTGGCGTGGTAGGGAGGTGCTTGGGCTGGGTGCGCAGCAGAGGTCCACGGTGAAGTTCAGGAGGCTGCAGCCTCCTTGTTCAGCTTCACATTGAGAGCAGCACATGTTGGTGCAGTTGTATCACTAGTAGCTTGTGCTTGGTTGTTTATCAGATTATATGCTGTGGCATTAGATAATATTAGAATTGCTGGTTGTTCAGCTAGAGCTGCAGTAACTTTTCTGTTTCTGGCTGGGGCTACTCCCACTCCAAAAGGAGATTCCAGCCAAACCTTGGCCACGCCAGGAGGCTTCTGCCGCTATCCCCGTACTTGGTGTCCCTGCCACCCAGTGCTCTGGGCAGAGCAGAGGGAGGCTAGGTGCACTCTGTGCCCGGGTTAGGAGGATATAGGTGGATGCACAAAGACCCAGCAGAACAAGCCCCAACAAGGCTGGCTGGAGCTGCTGCTTCTGTTGGGTCGCAGTTGCTGGAAGGTAGTTGAGCAAATTTGAACCAGCACCCTGGATCTCCATGGCAGACACAGCCTAGCACAGCTGGCATAGAGCAAGAGGTAGTGCATAAAAACATTCCTGTTGGAGGGCTCTCCTACTCACTCCAAGAGTCAGGAGGTAGCAAGACTTCTGATTTACTATGTAAAATTAATTATATGCTTTCATTATATAAGGAATGCCTAGTACTTTGTTACATACAGACCATAGTTTTCTTGTACATCAGAAGGATGATGTTTCCCTATATTTGAATGTAGGATGGATAAGTGAGGTGAATAGACTATAAAGTATCCCAAGGTGAAAGTCAGAGTAGTGATAATGAGATAAATGCAGTAATGAGGAGGTAGAAAACAAAAAACAAAGGAAGAGCTGCACTAACAAGGAGAGGCAGGATAGGTGAATGAGCATACTTGTGGATATGGACTAGCTATTAGCAGAATTTTGATTTGACAGAAGGACTTGAAAAATTGCATGATTGTAGCCTGTTTTGATTTGTAGCTTTCACATTGACAGAAGGACATGAAAAATTGCATGATTGTAGCCTGTTAGGAGCCATGATGCTTTACAGATAAAAAAAAGGCATGTCTGTTATGAAAAGTGTATGGTGTGTACATCCAGGTAGTGGCAAATGCCTTTATAAGATAAGCTGTGTCTACTTTTCAGTCAAAATCTCACTTTTAGACTTTGTATTTCTCCCAGAATAATTGACACAACACTCTAATATTTTTATTATTGTGATTTTATTTAGTATGGTATTTGGGTGGCTGGCTTTCCAGAGGTCTTTAACTTCTAGTTTTAAGATCTGTTTATATAATTTTACTCTTGAGAAGTTGACAATAATAAAGATTCATCATTAGTGCATTTATTGAATTGGCTGTGAGTTTTGTCAATAAATCCATATTTTAAAAAACATTTCTAGATAGCAGTTTAGAAAACATGGGGAGGAAATGTTGCTTTAATGAATCCTCTGCTTCAAATGTTCTGATTCAGTCACCCATGTATGTTCTGGTTTATTCTGTGTGTTTATTTATAAACAAAATTGTTACTTTCCAGGCCTCCAACTAAAGCCATATCACAAGCCTTTGCAGCATATTCGAGACTGGCCCGAAATATTCACTGAACTGACAAACTTGGATCCTCAAAGGGAAACTTCACAGCTTTTCCTGAGGAGAGATGTGAGACTTCCATTGGAAATTGAGAAAAAGGTCTGCACTTCAAAATTACGATCAGAGGCGGCAGAGCACTTGTACCATCAGCACTCACTGTGCTTAGTGACCTTTCTCTGTAATACTTTGGGTGTGCAGGTTCTTTTCCTGTCTCTACCATTCACATATAAACATGTACTCTAATCTCCCCCCTTCTCTGCTGTTTAGTTCTTCAGTGGGCCTTGTGTCCCCATCTCTACCTGTCTCAAACCTGCCCTATTTCCTTCTCTTCTATCACGGTTTTTCAGATATTTAAATGATCAGTTTCACTGGGACTATTCAAACTTATATTCAAAATGGTTGTCTGAGGAAAAAACGCAGTGTATAGCACTAAGGAAATAGATTTTTTTTAAAAAAATTCTGATGCGTTTTGTTGACTGATATTTATAGAGTGGAATAGAGTGAGATGTTTATAAGTCTGACACACTGAATTTGATATATTTCTCATGAACTTCTAACTGGGCACGGTATGCTAGTCACCTGCAATTTAAAAGCATGTTATATAAGTAAAGTCTATAATTAAGTCATTGAAAATATTTCTGTATTATATTTTTTCTATTACTATGCATTGCTAAAATACACATTTCAGGGAGATCGCCTTTTGTCTTCCATCTTTGAATCAATGAGAAATGTATTAAGTATTCAGTTACACTCCAGTGTAAGTATTAAGTTCACTTTCTATTTACAAGGAAATCATGCTATTTATTTTTTTTTCAATAGATTGAGGATCCACTGGCCATTCTTATCCTGTTTGATGAAGCCAGGTATAATTTGCTGAAAGGTTTCTATACATCACCTGATGCCAAGCTGATCACACTGGCAAGTCTGTTGTTGCAAATAGTCTATGGAAATTATGAGAGCAAGAAACATAAACAGGGCTTTCTAAAGTAAGTATGTATTTAAAGTTAGTCTTTTTCTTTATGAAGGAAATTTTAGACAGGACCTAATCTCAAATAAACTTCAGGTATACTTAAACAACTTTTCTTCTCCATCACTGTTCTGGTCCAGAGTGTCCCATAAACCCCGTAAGTATTCACAGAATCTAGATGTGGGGGGTGAACATGGACAAATCTATACCAAGATGGAGAAACATCAAAATGAGTAACGGGCTTTTAATGGGACTGACACTTGACAGAACAACTCACTTAGGGCGATGGAGAAGAAACCTCTTACTGTGTCCAGCTAGACCAGCTTCTGGGGTTGGATTTCTTCCCTCTCTGAGAGCACTGTTGAGAGATGCAGCATCTTTTCTGACACTCCCATGTGGATTGTTACACTAAACTGCTCAGAAACAGCACCAGTAGTGCCCTGCCAGATGGTGTTTTTCTCTGCCCTTCTCTCCACTTGCCTGAGCAACAGCAGCTGAGCTGTTCTCGGGTGTATTTTTTCTCCCATGCACATATTTTCAGCAGTATCTCCACATACTTACCGGGATTTTATTTCATTTCGGTGTGCACCTTTGCTCCTGCTGCCACTTTCTCCATCCCAACTCATTCATGTAACAGCAGTTGTGTTATTTTGGGATGTTGGGATGTATTGGCTTTTTTTTTTTTTTTTTTTTTTCTTTTGGTCCTATTCTTCGGGCCAAATCCATCACTTAATCATGGTGCATTTATGCACTGTGATTACTCTGCTGTAAGCATGGGCAGCCCCTGAAAGGGCTACCTGTACGGATTTCACCTGTACCCTCCTTTCTTTGCCTTCTGGTAAGTAGAGGCTTTGGGAGCACAGAACAAGCCGGATGAATGAGCTCACTGACTGGAGAACTTTTGGGTGGGCTGTTCAGTAGATTCAGCCCTTGGCCCATCTCCCATCTTGTCTTGTTGGTAAATCTGCCTCACCAGCAGCGGTGGTCAGTTAAACCCAGCTGGGTTTAGTATAAGCTCTGATGTGTTCCTTGGCTTTCCTTTCCCCTGTTTAGGTAGGGCTAGTGGGGAAAAAATAGTTTGGGCCAGATGGGAGAAGCCTGTGGGCACTGGCGTAAGCAACCAATGCATCTTCAGCTGGAGACGTTTAGAAATACGTACCTGTTTTGTTCCCCTTCAGACAGATGACTGAAAAAGTGGAGATTTGCAGAGGTTAGGTACCTGTGGTTGGGATTTTTGAAGCTACTACAGACATCTGCAGTTTTATATGCTGATAATTTTTAAATATACCCTGGCTTTTGTTTGTATGATAATATCCTTGAAGATGTGCATATGTTGTTCTTATGCAAAGGAGACAGTATGTGCTGTTATTGACAGATATAAATAAAAAGGATTAAAAATTTCTGAAAGCTAGGAAGGTATTTGAGACTATATTAATTGTGCATAAATAAACAGGAAGGACTTCCTTCAGTGTTTGGGGGGAAAAAAAAAGGCACTTTGTATAAATTGCCTGATTTCCATATCATGTGACCTAACTTTCATGTTAGATTAAGTCTTTGGTAGTGCACAGTCAGTATTTTGTGTAACTGAATGGTGCAGTGAAGAGAAGGGTGCCAATGAGCCGTGTCCCTGGCTTTTGAGTATTGGCTATTTGGGTCTAAATGACCCCCTGTATCTAATTTTGGCTCCCAAACTGGAAATCAATGAATTGGTCTGGTGAGCACTGAATAGTCAGGTGATGACCATGCAGCCAGCATCTCCTTTTCCTGTCACATCTGCAAGTGGTAACACAAAACTGTCTATAGAGGATCTGCATTAGAGGGTTGTACCATGTCTTAGGAAGCCTTGTCTCACCAGCTGAGAAGCTTTCTGCAAGAGAAGCCAAGACAGAGCAGGAGCTGGCATCTTAGCTCCAGATGTGTAGCTTGAAGATGCAAGCTGGCAGATTTTGTCCTTAAGGTTTACTGAAATAAAACTATTGTGGGGTTTTTTTCTGCTTTTTTTCCCTCAGTGAAGAAAATCTTAAATCTATAGTACCAATCACTAAGCTGAAAAGTAAAGCTCCTCATTGGACAAACAGGATACTTCACGAATACAAGGTGAGGTAAATAGTCAAATTCTAGAAATTCATACCTGAAATTTTTGACTGTTTTATTATCAGTTAATGTATGAAAATACTGGTATATGAAACTAGAAATGTGTGTTGAATTTTCAAGTTGGGTTGTTGGAATGATGTTTTTCTTGTATAGTTGCAGTTGATCTGTTTGCTAGAAGTAAATACAATTGTGTCCTCTATTCATTTAACTGCAGTGGGGCCATTGCTAGTTCAGATACATGTAAAATATAAGTCAGAGTATATTTTTGTGAAATCTATTTGTGATAGATCCACAAAGTCCTTTTTCCCAGTTCAGCTTGTACATTAGGGACCAATTAGCACTCATACAGACTCCCTTGACTAGAGTCTAGCAGAAAGCCTAGAAGACTTCTTACCTTTCCCTTCAGGAGAGTGTATGCAAGAATGGATACAGCTCCTTAGTCTTCTAGACGCTGTTGTGGGAGGGAGGAGCTGGAGGGCAGGGAGGGGGAAAGGAGTTATTCTTCATTCCAAAGAGATTGATGTGTTTTACATTTTCTTAAATAGCTATGTAGAACGTAGACAACCATCCTCCATACCCGCAATCATGGCCTCAACTTCTAGTTAGACTGGATTAGACCTATCTGAAGGAAGAACTGTTAGTTTTATGGGTTCTGATGGATTTTGTGTCAGATGGGTGCCTACCAATTTATCCCTGATAAACATGAGATCTTGCTGATAGTGGCTAAAATGTGCAGATTGGCAGAGGTTAGGTGCCTGTGGTTGGGATTTTTGAAGCTACTACAGACATCTGCATTCAAATCTTCTTCAGCATCTGAGCCTTTCTTTGGATCTAGGTTTTACTTTAGAGGTGATTTTTGAGGGGGCAGTTGTTGGGAAAGCACTTTGGGAGTACTAGCTTCCATTAAACATTGCATCTTTTCAAATAAAAATAGTTGTTTGGGAATCTTTGTTTATTGCCACTGTTCCTTTATTTCTAGAATCTCAGCACCAGTGAAGGTGTAAGTAAAGAGATGCATCATCTTCAGCGCATGTTTTTGCAGAATTGCTGGGAGATTCCTACTTACGGAGCAGCCTTTTTCACAGGACAGATATTCACCAAAGCCAGTTCAAGTAGCCACAAGGTCATCAAGGTTTATGTAGGAGTAAATGTAAAAGGGCTGCACCTTCTCAACATGGAGACTAAGGTCAGCTTCAGCTTAAGTGAACTGCCGATAATAGCTGTTAAGTTTCATCCTGTTCCCTTTAATTCTCTGTGCTAATTGTCATTTTGCGTCAAGAGTGTTTGGTTAAACTTGATTATAAAGATTTTCAAGATTTTAAGATCTTTGTAAGGTATTAATAATAGCCTTTATCACTCACCTACTTCATAAGCTACAACTGTTCTAAGTTAAAATCCTGTTTAAGTGAACAGAGGAAAATTCAGTTTCAGTGTAGAGAGTATTTTCTGAGTGATAGTTTTCTACGTTTCGTTGTAGGCCTTACTCCTCAGTCTGAAGTATGGTTGCTTTATGTGGCAATTGGGAGATGGAGATACATGTTTTCAAATCCACAGTCTGGAAAACAAAATGAGCTTTATTGTGCATACCAAGCAGGTAAGCATGGATTAAAATATAGCTTGCCAAATTTCCTGAGACTCTTCATTCTTGTGATTGACCACCCTTGTAGAGTTTAAAATAAGCCCAAGCCAAGTCCCCAGAAATATGTTTTTAAAATGAGATTTTTAAAAATTAATATTTCGGAATGTTTGGTTGTTTTCCTAGCTTGTGAAGCCTCTAGGGTGCATAACACATGAAACACATTTATATCAGGAAGGGGGGCGGAGGGGAAAGAAAATTGTTTGTTGAATAATTATACATGAACTATCATCAGACTCCAAGGATATTTCCAAATATGACAAGAAACACGAAGTTACAGAGTTGGTAACTTTGCAATTAAAACTAGATGAGTTTGGGAAACTGAGGATATGTTTTATAAAGCAACTTCCTTAGCATTTGCTATCAGTAACTTTGCTTGATGGTGCTTTGTGAATGCCGGATAGGAATGCTTGTTCTACCTCCAGCCTACTAGTGGTTATATGTTAAGTCATGGCAAAGTGCTTTGTGATGAGATTACAATTATCTGTTTTGGGCAGAAGTTGTTCAACTGATTATTCCATATTAAAATGGTTGTAGGAGGGGAAGTGGTTGAATATTTGTAAAATTACTTTATGATATATGATAAAAACCTAGGTACAGTTTTCATTTTCCTTATTTCTAAAATGAGATATCTTTTGAATTTATTTGCTTTCTACTGGCATTTAGCATATTCTTAAATTGATTTTATCTGTCTTATTTTGTGAAATGCTGATAGAATTTACTTGTTTACCTTTACACAGGCAGGTCTCGTTGTAAAACTTCTGATGAAATTAAACAGCCAGTTAATGCCAAGTGAAAGAAACGAATGATGGACAATAGTTAAGGAACAGCATCTTCTGGTTAAGGAAAAATAACTTTATTCTTGTCATAACAAAACATTCATGTATGTGAAATTTACAGAATGGAAAAGTAAATGTGTACAGTTTTTTAACTTGGTACAAAAGCTGCATGCTTTATTTTTTTAAAAGTATAAAATATTATTTTTATAAGTATATTTTGTTTCATATATAAGCTATTGTAAGGCTTGAGCTGAACCGATAAAGCTGATGAAATAATTTACCAATTTAGGGGAGAATAACACAAATAAGACTTCGATCCCAGAAGATTATGGGATTGCCAGTGCCAACAAGCAAGTTACTAACTTTACTGGTCATTCTGTGGAATATCGAGGAGGCTGTATGTGTTACAGTATTTTGCAGACAAACTACTTTTAAGATACTGCTGATTAAGTATGCTTAGAAGACCATCTCCTGCTTTGAGCAACTACATTTGATACTTTTTTTTTGGTTTCCGATAAACCTGATAGCTGACTTTATTTTTACTCTTTATCATACTGAAGATTTTGTATTTGTATTTATTCTAAATGTTGCATGAGGATGTCAGAAGGGAAATACTTTAAATCATTCAGAAACCTTATTAAATATTTAGCATGCTTGTTTTAAAATAACAAGATTTCTGTGTTTGCTGTGCAATATGTGTAAAGAAGGGGGAGGATGTAGACTTAACCAATAAATCTTATTCAGAGGACTTCAGAAAGCTTAAGAAATCTTGTCCTGGACAAGAGTGAGTAAACGCAACACAGAGTGAGTAAAGTTCATGTTCAGAGTTCAGACCAATTTTCCTATTCCTTACTTAAGTTTCTCAAGAGCCCAGACAGTGTAGGATGCAGGAATGAAGAGTTACAATGCAAGGAGGTCAGACACAGTCTATAAACATTCTGCCTGATGTTTGCAGAGTCAGGGTTTTATCTTAGCAAGTTATCTTAAGTGGGATTATCATTTCATTTCTTAATAGTTCAGTTTTTTTTTTACACCTTTTAAGTGTTTGAAAAGATTTGCATGCTGATTCTGATTTTTTTTCAGGCAACTTTCAATCCATTTCTAAATACATATATTTTCTTAGTATGCCTAATTAAAGGGAAAATTATGCAATAAGGTTAAAAATGTTGTAATGTTCCCCTCACCTCCATCAAATAATGGTATGGACTATCTCTGTAGGGTTTGAAGCATGTGCTTTGTAAAGCATGTGTAGAAATACTATCCAGAACACAAATCTTTTAAACCTCTGTTTGTATTTCGGAGTTTTAACTCTGTTTGACTCTTCATTCCATGTAAACTGAGTGCCAAAAGTGTGCAATGTTTTGTAGAAAAGCAAAAATATTAAGAGTTATCTCTAAAAAAAATGTTAGAAACTATGCTGTTTTGTAGTGTCTTAATATTTGTATTTAAACTTCTAAAACAGCAAATACAATGTAAGAAATTACAGTAATAAGCAATTTTTAAAAAATGAACAGAAGACTGAATTTGTGATCTTAGCAAGATGTACTTTGCTACTTCAGCTTCATTGGCATGTAATTAAAAGGAAATCTTCATGGAAATCTTCAGGAAATCTTATTATCTTTTATCTGTACTGAAAGCAGCAGTTATGTCCTTCACGGTGCATCCTTGCTATCACTCGGCACTGCTATTGGATACATACTTTGCTGTATAGCACTTTGTTAGAAAACCAGACGAAAAAATCTTGAAATGTATAGGTGTACGTTTAACAACAGTATAAATATGCCTTACTGCTGTGTAGTTCTTTCTGCCAATATCTTTATTACTATCTAATAAATGGTTTGCTAAGTAGTCACATTGGTTTTATTACTACAGCCATGATGAAAGTGTCATCAAATTGCTTTATTAGCAAAGAAGAGTATTTTGCAACATGCTCATCTTTACGAGTCCTGGAGGAAGGAAGATGGTCTTTAGAGAAGATCATGGACAAGATCATACCAGATCATGTAAGAAGACTTAATAATGAAGGTATCCTGCGTGCTTTGCTTTGCACCTTGGAAACCACGCGGGAGCTGGTCAAGAAATCACTAGTTGCGGCAAAGCCCACAGCCGCCCTGATCTGACGCTTAGCAGAGGTCTGTAAAAATGAAATTAGAATAAAAGCGATAGGTTTATATGTAAAGAGGGCGTGCATGGCAAAATGGCGGCC